ACACAACTCTCACTCTCTGCTACGAAATATTTCTTAAGTCTATCATACTCTCTATTTCTTCCTAAGTCTTTCATTTTCTCAAGCATTCTGAACAATGGCCCTTCTAACAATGGGAGATACTCACAGAGGCACAAGGGAAAACATTACTGCATTTGTAAGTCTCTTCTTTGGTTATACATTTTTCATACTTCAAATAACGTGTTGTTCATCTTAATGAATCTTACTCTTGTTTAATTATGATCTCAGGATACACAAAGATTCAGAATCCGTTCGCACAAATACCTGGCTCCCGACCCATTTATCGTCCCTTATCTGGAATATGCAGGTTTTGGACACGTGATAAAGATCTCCAACTGCACCATTGACTCCAAATTCATTCTTGCAATGTTGGAGAGGTGGAGACCGGAGACCCATACATTTCACCTACCAATAGGTGAATATACCATCACTCTCGAAGATGTGTACATGCTACTGGGCCTCCCTATCGACGGTAAGGCGGTGAACGGGTCGGTTCAACAACCCAACTCACAGTGTGAAGAACTGTTGGGTAGGGACATGGTAGAAGGTGGTGGAGCAAGAGGGCAGGGAATACTACTCACTGACCTGAAACGGCATTATGCAAGTATGGAATTAAATGAAAATTCCTCAGAGAATGACCGAGTAGTAAAAGCCCGAACGTATATTATGATACTTTTTGGTACATTTTTATTTCCCGAAAGTACGGGAAATAGTGTAAATTTCATGTACTTACATTTACTAACAAATTTTGATAAAACTAGAAAATATAGTTGGGGTTCTGCAGTATTAGCCCACCTGTACAGTTCCTTGTGCAAAAACGCAGTCAAGGAAAAATGTACATTTTATGGGTGCGCATTTTTACTACAAGCCTGGGGTTGGTGGAGGATGGAGTCCTTAAACCCCATCAACAACAACACTTTTGGTTTCCCTTACGCAACAAAGTAAGTCATTAAGTTATAGCATTTATAACTATTCTTCTCTTTCCAAAATATATGCTAAAAGTAACATGTTTCTCATTTCCTTTAGATACTGCGTGAGGGGTATGGATTACGGCAAGAATCCCAGATTCAATGTCGCACTCTACCGAAATCTGTTGGATCACTTAGGCCCAGATAACGTACGTCGTAGCTTTTAACTTTTGTTCATTTTAATTATTTATACATTACTTTTGCGCTTACCTGATTTAAATTTTATCGCAGTTCGTCTGGAGACCATATTTGGGTTTGGACCATTCTCCAAATCCAGAGGATGCAGCAACTTGGACTGCAAAGACTGCACTCATTCGGTTCAACATTGTGGAGATGCACCACAACGACCGTGTGAAGATGCAGTTCGGAATGATCCAAGAGATACCAAGTGATCCAACAGATTTGTCCCCCTGGCATCTAAAAAGGGTCGACGCCCAGTGGAATCTTACCAACTGGAAAGACTTTGCTCCAGAATGGTGTAAAATGTGGCAAAGGCGTCACCGCTACATCTTGCAATCCCCGGTTTTCCTTACTCAAGGTAACATGCGACACACCGATCAATATATGTCGTGGTACAGGTCGGTTAGTAACCCAGATATGCACGTGTCTCATCCGAGGTACTTGGTTGACCCACGCACACAATGGGCACAACCCTCGATTCCCCACCAACAAACCCAAAATCCATCAACCTCAAACCAACCCCCAAGAAGAAACAGACCAACAAACACACAACCACATTCCCCACCACAACACAACTACAACCAAATGCCGTACTACCAACCACAATCACCGCCAAACTACCAATACCCGGATATGCCTCAAACCCAACCACAATACCAACCCCAATACCAGCAAACCCACATACCACATACACAATTTCAGTCTTCCACATATCCCAATATGGCGCCCTCAACATCCAGCCTTAGCCCTGATATGGGAATGTCAGAAGATTATGACCAAGCCGACCAAACCTACCATCAACCACCATATCACCAAACAACCCAACATCCACAATACAAAACACCCCAAGATCCATTTCCTTTCTACCCCCCATACTCAGACGACCAATGCTACCGATCAACCATGGAACCCCATCCACCGTCAACACGACCAAACTTCGAGGGTATGGGTAACCGACTGTACCAGAGCGGATCTTCGAGATATGGAGATCTTACTGATTTTATGGATTCGGATCGCATTGACTTCGCTGGGCCATCGACCTTGCCGCAACAGGAAACGAGACGGCACCCAGCAAGAGAAAGGCGAGGACGGGGATGCGGAACTGGGGGTCATTACCGGGTTCCTGGGGATCACTGATGTATCTTTTTTTTCCCAGTATTTTTTGTATCCATTTTTTTACTGTTCTTTAAATGTAAAACAGTTGAATGTAATTATTTTTTTTTAAATAAAAAATCCATTTTGTTTATCTCTGTCTAATACGCAACGCGCATGAAAGAAATTTTTTTTTTTTTGACCTCATTTTCTACATAGGCGCCATCTCACTTGGCTTAGGGCTTGCCCTAAGCACTTAGGCGCCAAGTGAGATGGCGCCTCCCTTAAAAAAAGAGGAGCATGCGCCAAATGAGATGGCTTCTCCTTTGTGGAGCCATCTCAAACATGGTTATTTGCGTAATTTTTCCGAAACCCGGTTATTTGCGAAATATTTTTTTAATACATGGTTATTAATAAAAAAAATTCGAAGAATTACTTCTCGCTTTTTAAATTTTTATTTTTTTTATAGTTTTTTTTAATACATGGTGAGTCTGTTTTATGATATTTTAGTATATTTTATAATGTGCATTATATGTACCAATTATACATATTTCAAAGGAATGTAGATGTAGTAGTGGTTAAATTCTTGATATATGTAAAATAGTATATAATATTTTGACAAAAATAAAATATTAGAAATGAAGGCAAGATCAAGAAAAAGATTTAAGCAGGAGATAGCAACTACTATAAATTTGAAAATAGAGTAAGAATTTTACATACGGAATGATAAGAGTTATTTTTCAAACTGTTGTAATTTTATCGTAAGTTATGTTTTTTCCACTAAAATAATGGTGAGATTATTTTAATAATATTTTTATATATTTTATAATAAATTTATACATATTTTGAATGAATGTAGATGGAATGATGATTTATATATATTTTAAATGAATAAATACGATAGAACAGTGATTCAATTTATATCATATATAGAAAAATATAATATTTTAATATAAATAAAATATTGAAAAATATAATTAAAAATGCAAACCTCTTTTATGAGTTGTGTATGATAGAATAGTGATAATTGTTTAGGATAATATTTATTTATTTATAAAATACTTTGATCACAATGTGCTAATAATACAAATATATTTTTATTTTTGAATTAAGTTAATATAATAAAATATAACATATAATATTCATTTGTGTTTATTTTGAAAGAATTAGTATATGATTAAAATATTTTTAAAATATGTAAAAAACATATGTATATATTGATATAATACTTATTTATAATTTTTGAACAATTTAACTTAAATGATAAATTTTTTTTTTATTTTATTTAAATTTACTAGTAAAATTTAAAAATCAAGATGAAATAGAGTTAAATTTTGTTGTAGTTAGTTAAAATTTTTATAAAAATATATTTAAAATTGAATTTGTACAAGTCTAAATAATTTTATATCATTTCATATATTTTACAAATATATTTATGTCACATTTATGTTATGTGTTTATTTTCTAATTTTAGAAAATTTAATAAATACATAACAAGATAAAAATGTAAATTTAATTCTTCTATGCAACTTACAAATAAATAGACATTTTAATGGTAATAATTGATATTTATAAACATTAAATGAATATTTTTTTAAAAAAATGTTAATGCTTTAATTGTGTATAAATATAATTTTGTTTTATTACATTGACTTTTGAATTTTATTCCTATTATTATAAATTTAATTGTGAAAATCTTTTCATTTTATTTTACTACTCACTCATTCACATATGTTATTAATTCATAGTAAATTTAAATTATTGAAATTGTTTGTTCCTATCGAATATTAACGGAAATACGGAATTATTGATCAAAATATTGAATACTAATAGAATAAGATTGCTATTGACTTAAATATTTTTTACAACAATTCTAAAACAAAAATAATATTTATATAAAAAAACATATTATTTATTCAAATATTTTTATATTAAAAGAATTATAACTACTGATTTTTTTTATTTTAAATTTCATTTTTTTAATTATATTTTAAAAATAAATACGCGTACTATAATGATATTTATGCGTAGGAGTTAATGAAACACGTGTGATTGGAGTTAGGAGGAATAATATAATATATATATATATATATATATATATATATATATATATATATATATATATATATATATATATATATATATATATATATATATATATATATATATATATATATATATATATATATATATATATATATATATATATATATATATATATATATATATATATATATATATATATATATATATATATATATATATATATATATATATATATATAGTTATTAGTTTTGATTGTTGAAATATAATAATAATAATAATAATAATAATAATAATAATAATAATAATAATAATAATAATAGTAATAGTGTTGGAAATTTAAAAAAGTGTACTAAATAGAATTTATACGATATAATAATATAAAATGAGTATTTAGATAAGTTGGAACTCTCAGTTTTTCTGTATATTGACATGTTGTTAAAAGAGGAAAGTTTTATTTAATAAAATTATATTATATTTTTTAAATGAAATAAACTTTGCTTTGTTATGGAAGACGTGAAATTATGACTGTTTGGACCATCGGAAAGATCAATAGTCAGATTCCTTCCCTATTCACCCAGAATACAAACCTTCATTTTCTTTTCTAATCTGCCGTTTCACATTCCAACTTTAAATTTGTAGCAATTAATTTTCTCCGTTTTTCCAATCACTGATTGAAGGAATCATCCATGTATTACGATGGATCTAACATTCAATTTGCATTTCTTCTCATTAAATGGTTTCTGTTTCCCAGGTAATACAATGATTTAGATGTGTAGTTGTTTTTTATTTGTGCGAAATTCATAAGAATATCAGTGTATAAATAGGTCAAAATTGTCTCAGATTTCAAGAGGTGAGTGAATTGGTTTGATGTATGCATTTTTTCAATCAAATTTCATGGTTGATGATGATTGATTTGATGTATGAATCATCATGCTTCCTCAAACATGTGCATCGCCGCTTGACTCTCTCACTCATAGTGTTCCATGTTTGAAACCATTGAATCTCTCAATTCCTCTTATTATCTCTCTTATTAAGTCTCAAACAGAATCATCAATCAAACCCTAAAAACCCCAATTGAAGGTGTTTAGGATTACTTCAACCCTGCTCGATTGAATATTTACGATTCAATCTCTCTCGTGTTCTTTCTAAATCACGTAGATGTTTTCATGTCAATAGGAAGCACAACACGTAGAAAACTCACATTTTACTCAATCTCGGTGAGTCTTTAATAGACATTGTTTTGCATTAAACTGTCACAAGGATTTACACTCTTTAACATTGAGAAATAATATTATGCAGCTGCAAATGCTTCCATCACAAGCTTGGAAGTTGCCCATTTGATTTAAAAATGATATTAACAAGGTTTTTGTTGGAGCAAATGAGTATTTGGTTTCATGTTATTGGTAGCTAGCTATTGTAGATTTGTTACGTATGTTTATGTTGTTTTTTAAGATGTTAGCATTAGATAGTCTGATATTTTGATGGTCTTGTGCTGGCATTCTTGGCCTCTGTTAAAGTAATATAAAATTGATCATTTTAATGGGGAAATAGGTCTTATGCATCAGTTTTACAGGACCACGCCGACTGAATGACAATATTAAAATAGGGTATTACCTTGTTTAACACTAAAAGTAAACACATGAGAGGTAATCGAAGGAAATTATGGTAACAAAATTATTATTCAAATCAGCCTAGAGAAAAATGTAAGTATTATACTCATGGCAAAAAGGTTAACTCATAAAAAGGATACTTATAAATAATTACAAAGTGTTGTTGATAAAAAAATGATAACCATCAAAACAGTAAGACATAAATTATCAAAATATTAACTAATTTCAGTTGTATTTAAGTTTTAATCAGTGTCTCTAACTTTTGTTTTTGTTTAACTAAAGTGATTAATACATCTGATTGCAGTTGTTTGTATAACTAGTCTCACAGATTTTCCCTTACATATGAGTTTTTTTTTTCCTGTATAAATATCTAACTAAACTTGCAGGTGTGATTATATGTCAGCCTTGAATCATTGAAATTGGCATTTCATGCTTCAAATTTGATTATAACAAGATTTTGTGTCCTAAGGCTCACAATGATGCTTCTTTATTTTAGGCTTCCAGTTGTATCTTGAGTCATTGGATCTTTTCATTGTGGCTAACTATTCATACTATTCAAAGGTATTACTTTATTACACATTGCTCTATTTAGGTATGCAACAATGCAGCTCTATGACACTAAATCTGGACTTGATAGGTATGCAACTATGTTATCAATATTTATCATTGTGAACAACTTTTCCTTTTTTGGAGCTACAATAACCAATCAAATATCACATAGTAATTATTTTGTTTTGTATACCCTTCAACTTGACCCCTTTAAAGTATCTTATACCACTTCAAGGTTTTTGCTGATATTTTTATCTTGCAGCAATACAGGAACCACACCATCACTGGTTGGTTTTCATGTAATTTTATTTCTTTGAGAAATCTACATGCATGGTTAAAGGCTATTGAACATATGTTTGGGTTCAATTACAGGTGCATGCTTAAAGGCTATTGAGTTTCTTTGTGTTCCAATTTCCACTACCACTAGTGTTAACTGAGTCCAAGTATAAGAGATTGATGACATCTCCTAATCTATTAAGTTTTGACTTGTAGGTTCTTTTGCGTTTTCCATTTTCTATGACAACTAGTAGCTTATCATATGTAGGTTATGTAAATGGTTTTGGAACAAAGACTAGTTGAAAATTTCCTTCTATAAGTGACTACATGTGTTAATGCTAGTAATGTTTGTTCTACTATAGCTAA